GGCCAGCCGGCCCCGCCCGCCCCGCCCTCCTGCGGTCCCAGCACCCTGTAATCATCCCAGAGCTCATTAGCTAATTACTGCCTGGCAGGAAGTGGGTGAGGCTGCGAGGGACTTTGGGAGGGGCCTGGGAGCCTCACCCCGTAGCTGGGCAGAGCTCTGGGGAGTCAGGGCCAGGATTCACCTCGAGAGTGCAGCGTTTAGCGGGGTTCAGCACCAAGAATCTCCGCAGGACGCTCTCGCAGTCCGTGGACATGTAGAAGGGGACGCGGTACTTGCCCCGGAGCACGCGCTCCCGCAGCTCCTGCAGGGGGAACAGGGTCGCTGGGGCAGGAACCTGACCCGTAGCCCCTCACCACATGCGCGCTCCTCTCCACCCAACACAGAGCGACAACCCCAGTGCAGAGGGCAAAGCCTCAGCCCTCTGGCCCAGCCTGGGCTCTTCATCTCTAAAACAGAAGCCAGGCGTGGTGGTGCACACTTGTGGTCTCAGCGCTCAGTAGGCTGAGGCAGGAGGATCGCTGCAAGTTCGAGGCCAGCCTGGGCTACATAGTGAGTTAAGGACCAGACTAAACGACACAGTGAGACCCTGTCTCCCAAAACCCATAAATAAATAAATAGGAACACATTATAGATGCAGCAACTTGGAAAGAGTCTTAAGCTCCATAGCTTTTCATTCAGAGAAATCTCACAGGAAACAGATCTGTCAGCCAGACGAGGAGGCGGGTGACAGCGTGGGCACCCAGGACCTCAGTCTCTTCATCTGTAGTGGGGACGGCAGGTCCCACTTCTCCAGTGCTGCCAGCGCACTGGAGAGTTCTTATCTGCAAAAGGCTTAGCACAAGCTGGGCCCAGACAAAGCACCGTCTAAACACTAGGCTTACAGCCACGGAGCATGGTGACACACACCTGTCAGTCCAGCCCTCTGGGAGGCTGAGGCAGAAGGGTCAGAAGTTTGAGCCCCAACTGTGTAATTTAGCCAGAACTTGTCTCAAAATATAAAACAAACAAAAAGGGCTGGGAACATAGCTCAGTGCAAAGGCCCTGGGTTCAATTCTCAGTACTGGCAAACAGACAAAGCTCCTAGCAGGGAGCGGACCTTGCCCACCACCCTAGCAAGGCCCATTTCCCAAAGAGCTGCTGTTCTCCTAGGACGTCCGTGTGTTTATCTGCCGGCCTTTTTTCTAAGGGTCTTTCACGAAGAGCCACAGTAGGGCTGTGAAAAGTAAAATTGAGCCAGGGACCCAGGCCTGGCAAACCAGGGGAGCCACCATTCCTGAATAAAGTGGGTGAATGAGGAAGAAAGCAGGTGTAAACACAGCAGGGGAGACAGGAGGCCTGGGGCAGAGCCAGGCCCTGCGCCTGCCTCAGGGCACCCGGGAGGGTCGCCATCACCCTGGCCTAGAGGGCTGTATGTAAACTTTCACCTAAATATCAAGCTCATCTCCCAACCCGTACAGGGCAGTGTCCTGAGGTTTCCCAGGGATCCTGGCATTTTCAGGACACTTTTAAATGTGGCTCTGAGGCCCATCTTCCAGGTGAGGAAACTGGGGAGCCGGGAGGCGAGGCATTCTGCCTAAGGGGGTGAACAGCTGGAAAGCGGCAGGGCCTGGGTTCGAACCCTCCTGGGGCTGTTCTGTGCAGTCACTATGCCACCTGCCTCTGTCCCATGCTGACAAGCAGATGGGGGCCGCTGCTGGGAACACCGGAATGGCTGCAAGTATGACATGCAGCCAGGCACCAAGACTGCCTGTGAGGGGACATCCCTAATGTCCCCACCTGTAAGGGACTTGTCCAAGGTCATTTGGAAAGGAAACAACAGCAAGAACCTGCTCCAGCTACCCTTGACCTGGTAGGAAGCCAGGGTGATACGTGACAAGGCCCTGGGGCAGCCTCAACCTGCACAGAAGTCTCCTGGCTCCATGCGGGGGATCTGAATCTGTACTGTGTGACACCCAGCCCGAGAGCCAGGCCATGCAAGCGAGACAGGAATCTCAGTGGGCCTGACTTCCCGATTTCACTCCTCCTAGGGCCCAGGGCAGAGTGTCCCTGCTCAGGAAATCTCCCGAACACCCACCGGGTCCACCCAGGAGGCACAGAGCAGCCCCAACTAAGGGGCTGGACAGGTGGGAGCCTGGACTCAGGATGCGTCCCTGCCGCAGACAGAGGCTGAGAACGGCGGGAGGGAGGAGCTAAGGGTGGAGAGTGCTTGGGAGGCCTGAGTGTGGCCCAGGAGGGAGGAAAAAGCAACCCCAGTGTTCCTGGTGCTCCGGGGACAGGGACAGGGGACACAGCCCAAGCGCTGCATGGGGTAGAGGCCAGGACCGGGTCAGTGCTTCACTTCCCGAGTGCCACCCACAGGAAGTGCCGGGGCTCAAGAGATAATCGGCCCAGACTCTGGGGACAAAGGGCCACGGGGTCAGTAAGGAGCAGCCATGCATCCGTCAGCAGGAGAGGAAACTGGGCGTGTGACACACGCCTGTGATCTCAGTGCTCTGGGAGGCTGAGGCAGGGGGACTGCAAGTTTCAGCCCAGCCTGGGCAACTTAGTGAGATGCCACTCAAAATAAAAAAATAAAGGGCTGTGGAGGAGCTCAGTGTGAAGGCCCTGGAGTATTCAATCTCCAGGGCTGAAAAACAAACAAACAGAAACAGTGCGACGCTTCGGGGTACACACTGACAGTCGGGGCACCGCGGCTGACGTCAGCCTCTGAGCCTCCCAGAAGGTGCTCCGTTCTAGCCCCACCTTCTCCATAGCTTGGCAACGTTTCAAAATCAAAAGTTCAAAGGGAAAAACGAGCACACTCACCCTGCACTTCCCACCCGCCTCCAGCATCAGGCCAGCCAGAGCCTGACGCCCTATCTACGCTGCTCACTGATTTTGTTTCCGTCCTGCTCCCCTGCTGGAACGTCAGTCCGGGAGGACAGAGATTTTTCTGCTGTGCGTGCACAGTTCCAGGCTTCTGAGCGTCTTCTTGGAGTTGCACAATCACCGCCACAATCTGAGAACATTTCCCATCCACCTCCCAGGAAGCTCCGATCCCTGTCGCTGTGAACCCCCTCCCGCCCCAGGCGACCACGCGCCTGTTCTGTCTCAAGATCTGCCTACTGGGGACATTTCAGAGCCATGAAGTCATTCTGTGGCCTGCTACTGGCTTCGGTCAATTAGCATAACTTTTTTTTTTTCAATACTAGAGACTGAACCCAGGGCCTTCACATTGAGCTATACCCCATCCCTTTCCTTACTCTTTATTTTGGGACAAAGTCTCAAGTGGCTACACTGCTCAACTGGGCTTGAACTTGAGATCCTCCTGCCTCAGCCTCCCGGAGTGCTGGGGTCACAGGCATGCAGTACCATGTAGTTTGTTTTTTTGAGACAGGGTCTCTGTGCAATTCAGGCTGGCCTTTAACTCACTATGTACTCCATGCTGGCCTTCGAACTCATGATTCTCCTGCCTCAGCCTCCCCGAGTGCTAGGGATTACAGGCATGCGCCACCACACCTGGCACCACGCCTAGTTTAGCAGTATTTTCAAGAACACTCAGCAGAAAGCACACCCAAGGGAAGGGGCCTAGGGCTTTCTGGTTCACACAAAGCCTGGGAGTCTGAGCCCAGAGGAAGGCACCAGGCATCTCCCAAGTGAGTTAGGGAGCGGGACTGGAACCTGTGTCCTCAGCTGCTACGTTCGCACCCTGGGCCCCGATATAGCACTGTCCACATGGCTGGCCCTGTGGCTATGGAGACCTGGGTGCTGCCCGTGCCCCGCCAGGTGACCCTGGGCTGGCCCAGCCTCCAGCCCCAGCCCCAGCCCTGCCCCACACCTTGAGGTTGTGGCCGTCGAAGGGCAGGGAGCCGCTGACAAGGGTGTAGAGGATGACGCCCAGGCTCCAGATGTCCACCTCTGGCCCGTCGTACTTCTTGCCCTGGAACAGCTCCGGGGCGGCGTACGGGGGGCTCCCGCAGAACGTGTCCAGCTTTGAGCCCAGTGTGAACTCGTTGCTAAAGCCGAAGTCAGCGATCTTGATGTTGGCCTCTGAGTCCAGCAACAGGTTCTCGGCCTGGGACACAGGAAGGGGCGGAGGGTGGGCTCGCTGGGGACCCTGCTCCTGGCTGTGTGACCATGGACAGCGACTTGGCCTCTCTGGGCCCCAGCTGGCTCTTCCACAGAGTGGGAACAATCTTAGTCTCCACTTCACAGGGTAGCTGGAGAATTAAATGAGCTAAGCCATGGACTTCTCTGCCCTTCCAGTGAGTGCTGTGACATCAGTTACCACACGGGGTCAGAGCTGAGGTTTTCAGCCAACTCCTGCAACCTCTCTGAGCCTCAGTTTACCCAGGAGATTGCTCAAGAGCTATAAACACAAAAACAATTTCTTCATTCACCTGCACACCTGTCAGCTAGGAGGCTGTGGGGACCATCATGTTTTTGTTTGTTTTTGAGACAAGGTTTTGCTATGTAGTCCATGCTGGCCTTGAACTCACTATGTAGCTCAGACGAGCCTCAGACTTGCAGGAAGCTTCCTGCCTCAGTCTCCCGAGAGCTAAGATTGAAGGCATGTGCCACCACGTCCAGCAGGGAACTGTCATTTACAAGAGATGCTGCATAAAATCAGGTTAAGAGTATAGAATCTGGGGCCAGGGATTTAGCTCAGTGGTGCCACCACCTGCCTCACAAGCACAAGGTCCCGAGTTCAATCCCAGGTACCACAAAAAAAAAGTATAGATTCTGAGCAAGGTGTGGTGGGGCACACTTACAATCCCAGCACTCCGGGAGGCTGAGGCAAGAAGATCTCATGATTGAACCGTGGGCAACTTAGTCACTAGTGAGGCTCCATCTCAAAATAAAAAATAAATTTAAAAGGGGACCAAGCTATAGCCCAGGTTTAATTCCCAGTACAACAACAAGAGAATACAGATGCCGGAGAATCCCTGTTCTACTGGTTGACTGCTGTGTGACTTTGGGTGGGTTACCAGACCTCTCTGTGCGTGACAATCACAGCACCTGCCCTACAGGCCATCTGTCGTGGTTGTCTCTATTTCTTGTGGCACATGGACTCATGCGCCATCATCCCTAGGAGAGGAAACAGGCTGGGGAGCCAGCTCTCCCTCACAGCAGCGGCAGAGCTGAGCCCAAGCAGCCTAGGCATCCCCACAGCCTAGGCGTGAGGCGCTCCCAGCATCTTGCCCCCACCAGCCTTCTGGATTGTCACCCGTGTGTGGCCCATCCCTCCTCAGGCCACCAGTCATGGCCTCCTGCTGCTTCTCCCTCTCTCCTGGCTTCTCTTTTTTTTTTAAACACTAGAGATGGAACACAAGGCTTTGACTGAGCTGCATCCTCAGCCTTTTAAAGTTTTTATCTTGAGACAGGGTCTCACTAAGTTGCCCATGCGGGGCTTGAACTTGGAATCCTCCTGCCTCAGCCTCACCTTACCTCCTGCCTCAAGCCGGTGCGTGTGGGGTTTGGTACAAAGGCAAAGGCACACCTAACCAGAATCTGACAGCATGTGGGGCTGGTGCCATTTCCCTTCCTGGTGTCTGCAGCTCCACAATTCGCCTTACTCCTCCAGGAGCACTAACAGGACCCCAAATTCATTTTAGTCAGTTCCAGGACCCTCCACTAGGGGGAGACCTGCAGGTGACTCTTCCACCTACCTACCTCTCCCCACAGGCAGAGGGGAGCCCTGGGCCTCCTCACAGTGAGCCAGGAGAGACTTCTGAGGCAATCTGACAGTGGGTTTTACATCTTTAAGCTCTAATAACACTAAAATTGGGGTCTGCATACCTGTCTCTCATTTAATTTTCTGTTTTGTTTTTTGTTTGTTTTTTGAGACAGGGTCTCACTATGTACTTGAGACTGACCTGGAACTCACTATGTAGCCCAGGCTGGCCTCGAACTCACAGCGATCCTCCTGCCTCAGCCTCTTGAGTGCTGGGATTACGGGCATGCGCCACTACAGACAGCTTTCATTTAATTTTCTTTGCTATCCATTTTTACTCTTTTTTACCAAAAGTATATCCTGCCTCACTCTTGAGTGCTGGGATTACGGGCATGCGCCACTACAGACAGCTTTCATTTAATTTTCTTTGCTATCCATTTTTACTCTTTTTTACCAAAAGTATGTCTACACTGGGTTAGAAAGCTTTAGTTTTTGTTTCTTGAAACAGGGCCTTGCTGTGTTGTCTAGGCTGCTCTTGAACTCCTGGGCTCCAGTGACCCTCCTGCCTCAGCCTATCTGCAGTTTTCTTGTTTTGTGTAGCAGTGTTGGGGAGCTCAGGCATGCCAGGCGAGTGCTCTACCACTGAACTGCATCCTTAGCCCCTTTTTTTATTTTAAGACAGGATTTTACTACGTCACTAAGTTGCTCAGGCTGTACTTGAACTTGCAATCCTCCTGCCTCAGCCTCCCAGAGTGCTGCAATCATGGGTATGCATGAGCACGCCCAGTGATTTTTAGAACAATGAAACAAACCTGGTCCTGTACCTCAGAGCACAGCGGGAGCCCTTTACTCCCAGCCCAGCACACAGTAGGTGCTCACCAAGGACCCAATCCAGACGATTTGCCCAGACAAGGCCCATCCAGAAGCTATTCCTATGGTTCTGAGCAGCCTGCGGCCGGGGGCCCCTTAGAAAGAGCCTCAGCTTGGCCCCCGGCTGGCCCCGGTGGCTTCTCTCCCTCCGAGGTCCTTCTTGGCTTCTAAGCTCCCTGATTCTGAGGCCCTCTGGCAGTGTCCCCAGGTCTCCAAATCCTACATCCTGCACAATGCCAAGGCCCAAAGGCCAAAAGTGACAGACTCTATCACATACCAATGTTCTGGTCCGGCATCAATGTCACCAGCCAGGCCTCCCTAGGACACCGCTCCTCCGCTTTGTTTCTCCAGCGACCCACCCCCTCATCCATTTTTTTCCCTCCCTGTACCAGCGATGGAACTCAGGACCTTACAATTTGGAGGCCGGCGCGGTGCCACTGAGCTACATCCCTGGCCCTCCCTCATCCTTGCTTTGGACACAGATGCTCAGGATGGGCTGAGGGGTCCTGGGTGCCGGGGCAGGAGGTGCTGCAGGGCCTGGGGAGGTGGGTGGGCTGAGCTGGGGTCCCCTGGCCACCGTGGGAGGGGCTTACCTTCAGGTCCCTGTGTACGATGTTTTTCTGGTGACAATAGTGCACGGCTGATACGATCTGCGGGTGGCAGAGGGGAGCTGCATGGGTCCCTGCGGCCCTCAGCCTCCCTTGGTGGCCCGTGAACCCACATACAACCGAGCTGAGCCCCCAGGGCTGTGACAGCAGATGCCAGGGACCCACAGACGCTTCTGCTGGGACATGCGGCACCCCCACACCCAGCCAGACTCAGGGACCTCGGAACCAAGACGTGGGGACCAGCGTCCTCCCAGGGCCAGGCTCCCAGGGGACATCGCCTGCCTGGAGAGGGACCTGTGGTTCCCCTGTGGTCCCAGGCTGGCCCAACTGACCCAACACCCCCACTCCCTCCCCAAAGCTGGGCTCTGCCCTCCCCTCCCTGCACACCTGGGCAGCCGCACACCTGCACCCCCAGGTCTCCACCCACCTTCCCTCCCAGGCACCCAGGGAGCACCGCGCACCGCCCTGGGCCCTCACCTGTCGGAACTTGGCCCGCGCTTCCTTCTCCTTCATGCGGCCGTGGGACACGAGGTAGTCAAACACTTCTCCTGCGGGGCAGAGGCCGAGGGCTCAGGGCAGGGCAGGGCAGGGCTGGGGCGGCGCAGGG